CCGAAAGAGCAGCCAATTCGGAAATGCGCCTGGCAGAGGTCACTGCCACCAGAAAGGCCACTTTCATGGATAAGAGATTGAGATCACATGAGCAAAGAGGTTCAAAAGGTGACCCGGTAAGGGCCTGTAAAACCTTTGACAAATCCCAGGAAGGATACCGATGAACTGTTGGGGGCTTGATATTAACTGCTCCCTTAAGAAAAGAACGGATCATCGGATGGTGCGTAAGGGAGGAAGCGTCGTTGCAGGAAAGAACCGTAGCCAAGGCCGCCACCTGTCTCCTGAGAGTACTGGGAGACAGCCCTTTATCCATTCCATCAAGCAAAAACTGTATAACCTGAGGAACAGTGAGAGAAGACAACTGAACATGATGACTAGACATCCAAGATGTAAACCTCCTCCAAGTAGAGTCGTAAACTCTATTCGTTGAGGGTCGCCTAGAAGCCTGGATGATATCAGTGACCCTCGGAGGATAATCCTCCTCAGTCAAACGTCTCCGCTCAAACGCCATACGGTTAATTGTAACCATTGAGGATCGGGATGGCAAAGCGCCCCCTGAGTGAGTACTATCCGGTCTGGGGGTATCTGCCACAGAGTGGCTACTGATAGGCTCATGAGGTCGGCGAACCAAGGGCGCCTCGGCCAATGAGGGGCTATGAGAACTACCTCCGCCCTCTCTCGCAGAATCTTGCGGATGACAGCCGGAAGTATGGGAAGCGCAGGGAAAGCATAAAGAAGACCCCAGGGCCACGGGATGCGCAGGGCGTCCACTCCCTCCGCCCTTGGAGACTGAAAACGGGAGAAAAACCTTGGAAGTTGGGAGTTGTTCGCCGAGGCGAACAAGTCTAGGATTGGGTGTCCTACCCTGTGAGATATGTCTGAGAACAGGTCTGGATCCAGTCGCCACTCTGAATGAACCACCGTCGCTCTGCTGAGAGCGTCTGCCTGCTGGTTGACCTCCCCCGAGATGTGATCCGCCTTTATCGATGACAGGTTGGCCTCTGCCCAAGAGCAGAGCAGTCTGGCCTTTGCCATCAGAGAGCTAGATCTGGTGCCCCCCTGACGGTTCACATGTGCTTTGGCCGCAATGTTGTCCGTGAGGACAAGAACGTGCTGGCCTCTCACCTCGTGTCTGAAGTGACACAACGCCAGATGAATTGCCCTCAGTTCCAGCCAATTTATATTGTGTGATAGATCCTCTTTGGACCATCTCCCCTGGGCAATTTGANGGAAGTGCTCTGTATTGATAATGATAAGATCCGTAGCAGAATCTGAGAAATCTGCGATGTGGTTGAAAAATTGGAATGTGAAGATACGCCTCCTTGAGATCGATGGACGTGAGGAGGTCGTTCTTCCGTATGCTGGCCAGAATGGAATGCAGTGTTTACATTTTGAATTTTTTGTATATCAGATAAGAGTTTAATCGCTTTAGGTCCAGAATGGCCCTCCATCCTCCCAAGGCCTTTGGAACTATGAAGAGGATTGAATAAAAACCTCGTCCCCATTGATCGGGAAGGACCGGTTCTATTGCTCTTATTGTGAGAAGATTGGGTAATGGCCTCCTTCATAAGGACCCGTTTTGGCAGGTTTGAAGGCGCTGGGCAAGAGATGAAATGGTTTGCCGGTTTTGTGAAGAACTCTAAATGCAGACCCTGGGTAACGGTGGACAAGACCCAGGCGTCTATGGTGGTGTCCCCCCAACTCCGAGAGAACAGGGAGAGGCGACCGCCTATGGGGGGGTCCCTCCCCGAAGTCACTTATTCCTCCGATAGGGACAGCCCCCCGCCCCTCGAAAGGGCCGCCTAGATTGCTGTTGTTGCCTAGGCTTGTTTCCAAAAATTCCGCCTGCCGTTCCGATTTCGGGGCAAAGGAACGTGCTGGTTGAGACCAAGTGGAGCCCTGGGTATTGCCTCTGAATCCCTGATGGCGATAAAAAGGGGTAGGTTTTCTATCTGCCGGCCTGCCTTGGTGGGCCAAAACCTTTTTCTTGTCCTTATTCTCTACCAAGTATGGCTCCAGGGCTTCTCCAAACAATTTTTCCACCAGCGTAAGGAGCGGTGGACAAATGACCCTTAGATTTCAGATCCGCCTTCCATTGCTTAAGCCAAAGTAGGCGCCTGGCAGATATATTAGCTGCTATTGCTCTGGCTGAAAAACGGGCGGCATGTAGCGTAGCATCTGCTGTGTATTCAACAGCCGCTAACAATTTAGCCACGCTGAATAATTTCTTGTCG